AGTATCTTCTTTAGAAGCCCTTAAAATCGATTGTCGAACTTGACGTAGAGGTGTGGGGTGTGCGTAGTAAAAAAACTAATTGGGTGATGGGAGCGGTATGATATTAAAAAATATGAGAGGTTGTGATTTGAAACAGTGACGAGACAAAAAAAAGAGGTGATTTGGAACATTGAGTGTTGAGCCGGTAATAACTCTGAGGTCTCGATTTTGGGTAATTTGCAGGTGATTAATGGAGGTTTTGCTGGCGGCATGTGACCAAGCAGGGAGGGGAGGCATTATCTAAAATGGGGCGTATTAAGGCTTTGTAGGTTAAAAGGAGGATTTGCTCCCCCAACTGTCCCCAAGAGGATCCTGGAAACGCTTTCAGGACACCAATCCTGCGGCCAGTCTTGTCAGCGGATCTTTTACAGTGTGCAGCAAAGCATAAGGTTGTGTCAAAAGTAACCCCTAAAAGTTAAAAAGATGATGAAGGTAGTCGTTCAACGATCGGCATGCTGCCTCTACAGCAGGGCTTTGGGAAAAGGGATGGAAATTGTCCCGTAAAATGTGAGACGAACATTATTGGGCGTGTGGGAGCGTTATGGACATAAGAATTGAAAAGAGTGGGTGCAAGAACAGAGCCATGGGAACTTGGTTCTTAAAAAGTGTGGTAGCTTGTCGGCCATTAAAGAAGTTACTCAGCCAACTAACAATACCTCTCGGGAGCGGTGTGTCATGAATTAGCTTCACGAGAGTACGATGACACACCATATCAAAATCCTTCGAGAGGTCATCCAAAAAGCAATCGACCTCACGCTAACAAATTGCAACAAGACCTACACATATGTCGACGATATATTAATCGTAACCAAAAGACCAATGGAGGTACACAAAAACACAACAAAAAGTCTTACAAAAGCTCGATGAGAAAAATTTTCGGTCTAGGCATCAATTTTTGATCTAGGCGCAGCTAAAACTTAAAACAATCAAAAATCAAAAAACGATCGAAAAAACAATCACAGACAAAGGCCAATCGAAAAACATGTCAACCAACTCGATTCTACATCAATACCAGTCACAATCAAGGACGCCAGAGAAAATATCAAGCAAGCAACAGAGAATAAAAAATCATCATGATTCTCAAAAATCGTTTTCAGAGAAAACAGTGCAAGCCAATCGAAATCGAGTAGAAAAAATATGGAAAGGAAAACTGACAATGGAAGTTTTGCCTTCCAAACGGCGGATCACCAAATGGTGTCAACAACACAATAAATACACACTTAAGCAGTACTATCAATCAAAATGATTGAGTTATACGAGTACTACATGAGCCGATTTGAGCCAACGGCGGATCACCAAATGGTGTCAACAACACAATAAATATATACTTAAGCAGTACTATCAATCAAAATGATTGAATTATACGAGTACTACGTGAGCCGATTTGACCCAACCACAGCGAGACAAGAGGAATCTCTTTCAAATGTGGAAACACATACAATAACATCAACGCACGCTTTAACGCACGCACGCACGCACGAAACGGTAACAGAGGGGCTGGTATTTCCAGTCCACAAGGAACCCAACGCAGAAATTGACGAGGACACCCGGTTTTACAGAAAAAACCTGCAGAAAAGGTTGGGAATCAGTTTCATTGCCGCCACAACACAAAAAGACCGGAATTTGCGCCCACTCGTCAACTTCGAAAAAACGAGACTGTGAAGCCATCAATCTGTCTTTTGGACAGATGTGGTACATTATACGACACCGCTTACCCGTGCGAGATTATTGTCTGCTCATCGACGAGCGGATTATCCTCCCTACTCAACTCCGACAGACAGTGCTCGATAGTCTACATCTCACTCACCCCGGATAGGCGTCCATGCTAGATATCTGCCAACACATCTGGTTCTACCATATCCACCGATCAATCGTGCAGATGGCACAAGTATGTTGGCAATCTACCGAACAAGCTAGAAACTTGAAACGAGTAGTGGGCAAATAGCAATAATACCAAATGGAACCGGTTCTCAAACCTAACGAAGAGGTACAACTGGATTTTGCAGGAACCCTCCCGGATGAATTAAGAAAAGAATTATGTATTCTAGTTGCTATAGATAAGTGGTCAAAATTCCCAACGGCTAAGGTACTTTCAAACAAGACAACAGACGTCTCATTGAAAATTATGCAATGCAAAATATCAAATATTGGAGTACAATGCAAACTAAGATGCGACGAGGCACAAACTTTCCTAGCCAAAAACATTCAGTTTTTTTTGCTAATCTAATAAAAAAACTGCTTTTTGCACTGGTCAGAGATCATTAGGGGTAGTAGAAAACTTGATACAAATTTTTAAACGGCGACTCGGAGTAATGAGAATTGACAAGAACAACACTCCGTTCAAATTAGCCTCGGATTTTGCGCAAACTATCACAACACGACCCATAACTCCACACGGAATAACAAAAATAACAACATTTGAATCCCGTATAGTTAGAAAAGCCAACACACCACTTTACAACATAACAACAAGTAGTTCACCTAATAAGTAGGGAAAACGCCAATTACGCCTGTTTAGATCGCAAAAAGTTGATGCAGCCACCAATGAACGATACCCAAAAAAGAATCCCGGAGCCTGCAATCATTCATAACAAACCAGCCACAGAAAATCCACAGCCACAAAACACAGGTGTTAAAGTTAGGCAAGCTTTAGCTATTGAGAAAGAGAAATTAAAGATACAAAGGCGTAGAAACTCAAGAAGAACCAAATATCACAAAACGAATTGAACAAGTAGCAAGGAAAACAGTAAGCAGAACCAAAAATATGTGAACAAAATTACAAAACTATCGATAGCAAAATCTTGATATTTGAACCACACACAGCGTGGTTATTTACAAAAAGAAAACAAACAAGACTACTAAGAAATAGCGGGTTTGCATTCGATCCTAATCTTTTAATATACGGCCAAGCCGGCCGTCACGACTTAGCGACTACGTTCCTTATGAATCCGCTCGGAGAGCATAACCTGTTTGCGTTTTGTAGATATCGATGCTCCTAACGCACCACAACATCCTATGTTCCAAGAAGACACGAAGGCCCTACCAGTGAAGTTAACTAGAAAGAAATTAGAAGACAGCGCTATCAAATGAAAAGCAAAATCTACTGGAAAAAGAGCAGGGGAAAACCACAACGGACACCAGCAAGTGGAATGAAGTTCCACACGGAGTCGTCAAAAAAAGGGCAACCCCATAGAAAAAGTCGGAGAGCGAAATATCAACCTCGTCGGGTGACACGGGGTCATCGACTTTAGAAAACACTGCTCGCTCTCCAAAACGCCTCAACAAAAAGAAAACACCTGAAGCCGCACCAACAAGAAGTTCGACTCGAGTGAGACAATCAGCACTAGCCGCGGTACTAGGGAATTCGGTCCCAAAAAATGCAATTGGAAACATGACCCAATCACCGGCGAAACAATTTTCTATCGAGTCGCCCACCGACAAAATACCAGGTAAAAGATGTGGCCATGAATCAACTCCCGCAACTCCCAAACCAAAAACCCAGCCTGAAAAGCCTCATCTCGGAGATAGGATCTCATGAGAGCTTGCAGAAATACAACGCCTGCGTAAAAACTCTGTAGACCATACAGCAAAAGTCGAAGAAAGAGGAGCAACAAACAAGGGAAATTATCAAGTTGGTGTCCACTTCCGACAGTCCACAGAAAAAAAAACAGGAGAATGGAGTCCTCGTGGTAGCAAACGTACACAATAAAAACATCGAGAACACATAAATAGACCACAAAAGAGACGACCTTGAGGAGCAATCAGAAAAACACTAAAAAATAATAATCAAGACGATGAGGAAATTCAACAGGAGTTGGAAAAAGAAAAGGATAAAGCATTAGAAGTTATACAGTCCGATGAGGACTCACACCTCAACATTGTCCTACTGGGACACAAGAACTTCGGTCCTACAGGGACCTAAAACTCAAACACGTTTCTTAATCACAACTTTGATCCGCAAAACGAATTTTTAATTCATAAAAATAATTTTTGCAAACGTTTCTTTCCGTCGAAAGCGCAAAAAAAACATAAGAAATAAAACGACTTACAAACCATATCCATAAAAGCTATAATTTCTAAGATAAACAGAATTTTGAAGCTGTTAACTTGTCAATGTTTTCCATAGTTTTTAGTTTGCTGGACGGTAGAATGTATATTTGAAATTCATGTCCGCAAAATAACCAGATTCAAAAAGCTTTGCGAGTTTCAGAAGTTTGGTATTTTCATGGTAATTGTAAGTTTTTTCTTACTTTAGGTTGATCATTTTTATCTCATATGTGCATCAATGATAAAAGAGTTTAAAACACAACCACATACGATTATATTGATTAAAACTTAAATAAAGACTTTCAAAACTAGTTTTTTTCTTTGAGTGCTCAACTTAACCTTTTTTGTTGTTTGCCAATCCGTTCGGACTCGATATTGATAGTTATCATACATAACGGTATGACAGACCCAAAAGGTCCCCCTTTGTACTACTTTGAGATATCCATTTTTGACTGACATCTCTAAAAAATTTTAAAGGCGCCTTTGGCGCCACTACATACCAAACTTCAAATTTTTTTTAATATGCCCTCTCGAGAAAATCCTAGCTCCGCCGCGGCCTAGTTCCATATTATGAAAAACTACTAATCAAGTAGCAGAATGAAGTAAATAAAACAATTTCCTAGAAGCACCTTATAATAAATCTATATATACTAAAACGTTTAATCATAATAAACCTCAAATTTATCATGAAACTCGAAAGTGATTCTCATAGTAGCCACTTGTCCTAGAATTGCCCACAATTTTTGTCAAAAAGAGCATTTTTACTTTCAAGAAAACGGCCGAGCCTTTTTTTTGAATTATGCTTATGCAGCCGAAAACAGAGCGTCCAATTTTTGAACATATTTGAGCCCTTCAAATATCTCAGTGAAACGCTTGTTTGCAAGTTCTAGACTGAAATAACTGTAGGAACTGACCGTCTACGACTACTTTGAAGCTGGCTTGAGCTGTGGTGTCGAACTTGTTGTAGGCGGCCACGCAGTAGAACCTGCCAGAAGAAGACTGGTCTGCCACCATGAGACCCAGACGCCACTCCCCACTCCATAAGCCGCTAGAAGGCGCATACACTTCGAACTTATCTACACAAACCACCCACACACATTTCCATGACTTAGATTACATGTGTGTCATAGATCTTATAATCATGACATTGGCACTTACAACTGAACAAAAAGCAAAAAATAATAATGGCTCAGGTTTCAGGCATTAAAAAGCATTAACTCATAATTCAGGCTCTTGCTAGCTTGCAGCCGGCCAACCTCATTCCGCTTTTTAGTTTTTGTTTCGGCTCACATCAGTCGTATGATTTGCAAACTTGACAACTGTCTAAAAGAAATCTGATTTGCTAGATATTTTAATGAACCAAAAATTACAGCAACTCAAAAAAGAATTTACCCTAATCATTAAGATAATTGTTAATCGCACTAAAAATGTAACCAATAGTTTGTTAAAAGCCCATAAGTGGTAATCTAAAGTAGCTTTTGAGCCTATTGTAGTGACATACCGCCATTCATAAGTTCTGAAATAAGAAATCAATTACAGGTGAACAGTAGCAAACAGTTGTCTCAATCTATCGCACGCTCAGTTCAGGCTCAAACATCCTGTGAGTCTTTGAATATCTTAGAAAAAACAATTTATTATAAATAAAAATTATGAGAAAGGTAGGATGTTAGTCCAAGGGTTTTTTTAATCTGGACTAGTGACTACCCGCAGCGAAAACTCATGGGTGAAAAATTATTATAAAGGAATTTCACTGATGGAAATATAGTCTAGACATTTAATAATTTAGGTTTTAGACCTCAAATTTAGATCACGTATTGGAATTTTAATCCATTTGAAAAATTGTTTTTGGAAAACAAACATCCATCAGAAACCGTTATAATCGAATTGATCATTAAATCCATGAAAGTCAATTTTGTTACGTGCGACGTGTTTACTCTACTTTTTGCAGCTTTTTGCAAAACTCGGACCCGAACGAACGCATTCAACCCCATTATTCACCACCCGCACTGGAGTTCCATGGATAATGGTTAAAAATCTTTTAAGTTTGAGTTTTATTGTCGGTGTCTATAAAAGTGAAAGCTAATCGAATATAATCAATTGAAAATGGAGTATATTGCCATTAATTATTAAAGCATTAAAATCCATTGCATTTATTTATAGTCGACTTATTTTCACTTTTATAGATACAGACAAGGATACTCCAATATAGTTCAGGGGGCAGATGTTGTGGTTCAGATGGTCAGTGTGTGATGGAGGGATAAGGGGCAAACGTTAGGGAGTGGGCAAAGGGGCAGACATTAGGGAAGTGGAATTAAAGAAACGTTTTGCAATTTGAGAAAGTAAGAAAACAAGTAGGCCGCACATTCGTTTTGTAAAACTTTGGCAGTACTCATTTTATAAATGCAAAGACTCTTGCAAAAATTTGAACGAAGCAAAACAGCAATAATTTGGAAAAAACTTTAAAATGAACAAAGTTCAAAAATGATGAGAAGACTGGATTCAAATCAATTTTTATTCCATTTTGTTGTCTGAATGCAACATGGGAATTGACTGCAATGATAATTTTTTAGACACAAAAAGCCAAAATAATTGATTTTTTCTTTCACTTTTCTTAGATGTGGACAAACCCCACGCCATAACTAAACAGTTATAAATTGGGTTTATGTTTGCCGCAACTATTCTGACAATCCAAGGGTGCTGATTTTATTATATAAAAATAAGTACTCAAAAAAATATACTAAAGGTAAATCAGGACGTTTCCTTGAAATTTCAACAGTTCCTTAAGACCGAAGCAAAAATATTTGCTTCAAAAAAGTAACAACATTTTGTTAGGAAATTTTGTATTATTTCTAATAGTGATTAAACTAGTTCACAGCCTAATTTAGTTCTACCCTACTTATTACAAATGAATTTAATCTATCTGTCTGGAGCTAACTGGTATTTAAACTTCGGAGTTATCTGTCACCTTTGGTTGACCTCTATTTCATTGTTTCCAAATAACTTTATGAATTGCAGTCATCTTTCAGTTCTGAAATTTACCTTATTGAAATCTCTATCTTGACATGGCGCAGCCAACAGGCTAAAGTGGGGAAAAAAGCCACTTGGCATTACGTCATTCCGGCTCCCGAAGTTAGCAGAGTCAACAATGCTATGCGAGTTTTGGCTCAATCGGAATCAATGGGGAATGGCGGCTAAACACAGTATTAACCCGAACAATTTTTAATATGTAGCTACGCTAACAACAGCCCAAGTTACGGCAAAACCGGAGGAGGTGGATGGTAAGAATCGACAGGAGGCGGAGCAAACGCTGATACCGAAATTATACCTGTTCCTGGGGAGAAAAGCCAGGATGAATTCCACAGGAGGAAACCACATTTGGATTTGATTTTGAACCGTTATCCGAGGGTCCTTGATGCTTTGGAAACCGAGCTCAAGAAAGAACGCTACGAATTTTCCAGCTGTTGGCAAGGAAATAGCTTATTGAAAATCCTTGGAACAGATGCATTCAGTCTTCAGTAGACTGGCGGCATGCTGAAGTTTCTTTGCAGTTTGAGAAAGTTAGAAAACAAAGAGGCCGTACATTCATTTTATAAAAGTTTGGCAGTACTCATTTTACAAATGCAGACACTCTCGCAAAAATTGACGTATCAAAACAACAAAATTTTGGAAAACTTTCAAAATTGAACAAAGTTTAAAAATGATAAGAATACTGGATCAAAATCAATTTTTATTCCATTTTGTTGTCTGAATGCAACATGGGAATTGACTGAAATGATAATTTATGCCACAAAGTCCATTATTTTTTGTTTTCGTTTTTTTTTTTCACTTTTCTTAGATGCGGACAAACCCCACGCCATAACTAAACAGTTAAAAATTGAGTTTATGTTTGCAGCAACTACTCTGACATTCCAACGTTGATGATATAATCTACAAATGACCACCCATAAAGCTATACTAAAGGTATATCACGGCGTTTCCTCGGATGTTCAAGTGTTTCTTAAGACCGAAGCAAAAAGGTTTGCTTCAAAAAAATTAACAAAGTTTTGTTAGAAATTTTTATTATATTTCTCATAGTGATTAAAATAGTTCACAGCCCAATTTAGCTCTATCATACTTGTTGCAAGTGAGTTTATTCTATCTGACTTATGCTAACTGGTATTTAGTCTTCGGAGTTGTCTGTCACCTTTGGTTGACCTCTATTTCATTGTCTCCGACTAACTTTATGAATTGCATTTATTTTTCCGTTCTGAATTTTACCTTATCGAAATTTCTATCTTGACATGGCGCAGCCAACAGGCCAAAGTGGGGGGAAAACCTACTTGGGATTACGTCATTCCGGTCCCCGAGGTAAGCAGAGCCACCAATGGTATAGGAGTTTTGGTTCAATTGGTTTCAATGGGGAATGGTGGCTAAACATAGTATTAACCCAAAAAAAATCTACTCTACTCTTCAGTCTTCAGTAGACTGGCGGCATGCTGAAGTTTCTTTGCATTTTGAAAAAGTTAGCTCTATCATACTTGTTGCAAGTGAATTTATTCTATCTGACTTATGCTAACTGGTATTTAACCTTCGGAGTTGTCTGTCACCTTTGGTTGACCTCTATTTCATTATCAACCAAAGGTGACAGCTCTATCAAACCTCCAATTTAGCTTTATCATACTTGTTGCAAGTGAATTTATTCTATCTGACTTATGCTAACTGGTATTTAACCTTCGGAGTTGTCTGTCACCTTTGGTTGACCTCTATTTCGTTGTCTCCGACTAACTTTATGAATTGCATTTATTTTTCCGTTCTGAATTTTACCTTATCGAAATTTCTATCTTGACATGGCGCAGCCAACAGGCCAAAGTGGGGGGAAAACCCACTTGGGATTACGTCATTCCGGTCCCCGAGGTAAGCAGAGCCACCAATGGTATAGGAGTTTTGGTTCAATCGGTTTCAATGGGGAATGGTGGCTAAACATAGTATTAACCCAAAAAAAACTCTACTCTGCAGCTTCGATAACAACAGTCCAAGTTACGGCACTACCGGAGGAGGTGGATTGGAAGATTCGACTGGAGGCGGAGCAAACACTGATACCGATTTTATACCTGTGCCTGGGGAAGAAAAGAGAGGATGAATTCCACAGGATGAAAGCAAACTTGGACTTGACTTTGACCCGTTATCCGAGGGTCTTTGATGCTTGGGAAACGGAGTTCGAGAAAGAATGCAACGAGACCTACAAATTTTTTTTCAGCTGTTGGCAAGGAAACTGCATATTGGGGAATCCTTGGAACAGTTCCAATCGGTCTTTAGTGGACTGCCGGCACGCTAAATTTTCGGAGAATTGGAGACCACGATATTACGAGATCTATTCATAGTGACCATGATAAACAGAGAGGGCCAAAACGAACAATACCGGTCGACAAAAACACCACAGGAGGCGTATCGCAAAGCGCTGTCATACGAGCGTAGAGACAAGTACGAGCAGCACTACCGTTAAGACAGAACCGGTGGGGGCAATCCGGGGCCGATACCAGAACAGTAGACAGGGAGAATGTGATGTCAATCCAAAGAGATCAACAGTAAATTGAGACGTCCGGCGCGGGGGGCATCTCTGGATAAACGGCAACTCTCTTTCAGTGAGAAATTTAACAAATATTTTCGCCGAGTTGGTAAAATGAGAAACTACAAATTACAAGCAGAATTATTACCGGTTCAAAAAAAGAAAGAAGGAGGTTGATAAAGAGATTAGCAAATTTTTGAAACAAGGACACATCGAGAAACTCAAAGAATGCTCTGACAAGTACTTTGTTTCTCCCATCGTAATTTTGGTGGAGAAAGATGGGTCAGTAAAGCTACCATTAGAATCCAGGGAAATAAATAAACAAGTCCAAAAGAATAACTACCAAATGCCCAACTTCGAAGAACTTATAGACACGGTAGGCCAGACACGGTAGAGTAGACACGGTAGGGTAAGTGGACGAAAATCGGGGAATATATGTATTTCTGCCACGAATCTCACGTAAGCATACGGTCAGCAACCGCTAAATCCAGAAATTAGCGTATAATGTAGTTTCTCAGTGGTGGGGGGAAA